TCAAACGATGAATAAATAGTGCTCGTCCGTCGTGATTTGTCGTGATTTGGTGTTATTAAAGCGACACAATTTTTGCAATTCCTTGGAAGGCATTTTTAATAATAAAAGTTATGTAAATAAAATTGTAGCGGAGATAATTGTATCAATTTTTGTCATTGGTGTAATTACGAAGAAGGGAAGAAATCAACATGTTTCGCGTACGAGAGAGAGAGTCAGCATTAAAATTCGAAGAGAGTTTATCATTGTATCCAAAAATGGAAGACAAAAAGATAAGAGGGGAGTGAAGTGACGAGAATAAACGAAGGGAGAAAAGCAAACAGTAGTGCGATGTAACTTTTACGATAGTTTATATATATCCACAAAATGCATACGGTGTACACTCCACTTTAGGTCCAATCTCAAGACTATAGAGGGTACGAAGAGATCGTGGGTGGTCCACTTTTACGATTATAATTGTATTCTTCTAGGAAGGATTATTCGTTATCTATTTTTGACATTTTAATTAATAATCAAAGCAATAATCGCAATCTTTTTTACTTCTTTCATAGTGAAACGGGAGTTGAAATTCGGCAAATAAATTAAAATCAACAACAAGAAAGCGATAAGTCAATGCAAAAATTACACCTTCACTCGATATTGCTATCTTGAAGTATTTAAATATCTTCAAAAGAAAATACTTTAAAGAAAGTGATTTAAGTTTTTCGCGCTCGTCGTGCAGTTCGTTCAAAGGATTTCCAGTAGGACTAACTGTAAGTGTAAAAAATAGTCAGTTCGCTGGTGGAAAAAAAAAACGACGAAGGGAACGAAGAAAGAACGTGGTGGCATCGCGAAAGAGCGACTCGAACAAAGTCACTCCCCGATCTCCGGTCTATTTAACATGCCGCTAATGCTCAAAATGATCGATCTGTTCGGCTCGATTCGGTCGCTTTTCAAGGTGCACAGGATCGCCGAAGACTCGATGATATTTCGATTGCATTATCGTGCGACGGTGGCAGTGCTGCTAGCTGGTTGCCTCACCCTCGCTTGCAAAAGTATCTCCGGCTCGCCGATACACTGCGAAGCCACCGCGGCCGTGGACAAGGCCGTGCTGGAGACCTTCTGCTGGCTTCACACCACGTACAGCATGGTGCGTGCATTCAACATGAGCATCGGCCAGGCCGTGCCTTACCCTGGGGTGTCGAATACCAAGGGCGAAGGGGGGCACGGCCACGCACCTCACCCGTTGGTCAAGCAGCACAAATACTATCAGTGGGTTATCTTCTTCTTGCTACTGCAAGTAAGAAGCGACGGTCTCTTTCTTGCATTTCCATCGATTTATTTTTCTTCCTCCGTGCACATTTCTTTATCTCTTCCTTTACTATTTCATTTTTACGTTGCCTGTATCTTTATTACATTTCATTGAATTATTGTAATACAATGTATCTTGTTTTATAATTGTACTTATCTCTACAGTAAATATATCAATGATTGAATTGAAGAATATTGGGAATTTTCATAATGAATATTATTTTTCATTTATCTTTATGCGTGAAATATTATTCTTATCTGCTACGAGCTACGGTATTTTTTATGTCAATTACAACGTAAATCTCTGATCTTTAATTTTAAGTGAAAAAGCAAAAAAGTTATTTATAGATAATACAAACATATGAAGGCGATGTTCATATCTGAATTAAGATAGTTCAGAAATCGCTGGTCCTGAATCAGTATCGATACAGTATACGATCGCAAATGCGTGTGTATTCGTTTATCCGTGATTGATAATCCTTGTTCATAACGTCAATACATAAATACAGGTTACAGATAGTTCTGCCTTTAAAATGCATATGTACCTTCGATGCTATCTTCGATCGTACCTCCGCCTCCCATACTTCAAGCATTACTCGTCTTCGCGCACGTACAATATCGTTCTTTTTCTCAAGTTACTATCCTCTATTTATACATCCAATGTTCCTACAACTCTCTCGCTCTTTGATTAATCGCACATCCGCCTTTTATTTTGCAATTGATTGCCGCGTATCTAATGTGTTTTCTAGACAAAGTTTGACATGAACCATGTATAACGTCGCGTATCGCTAATAAATTGACAAAACGCATCACTAATATGATTAACATTTAATAAAATTGAAAATAAATTGAAAGTAACGTAGAAAACATGTTTTTAAAAACTATTGCTTGTAAAGAGAAAGGAGAAAGTTTTTTTGTAATTTTTTTTTCACAAGTAAATCATTTTCGATAATAATTAAATAAATAACATATAATATATTGTATTTTATTTTAATAAGAGAACGCAATTTTACTAAATTATTTAAAATAAAATAATTTTTTCTAACAGTTTACATATTTTTATTTATA